AGATTGACTCTTGACATTCATTCTGACAAATGAGTACACTTACCTCATTTGCTGTCAGTGGGTCAGTCCTGGCCCACCTTAACAAGATAGTCCTCAAGGATGCAGTTAAGTATCAATACATTACTGCAGTTGGTTTCATACAGAGAGACCTATCCATTTTTGTCATTCTCACCAGTTTCGCAGCACGCATATCCTGGACCTGAGGCTCTACGTGAAGAAAGGCAAAGAGACTCATGAACATTTTGACTCAGTCTGGATCTCGGCTGCTAGGTACCTTGAAGAGAGACAAAGAGAGCTCGATGAGAGTGGGACGAAACGGGACAAAACTAATCCGTAGCTTTGGACCCAAACTCTACACGAATTATCCCAGACCTTCTGTCCGTTTTCTCCTCACGGACGACTCTTGCTGATGTGACTTGGTAGATCTGGCCAAGAGGCATATTTCTCCAGTGGAGATCGACTACGAGGCAGCCACTGAGTCGTCCGAGTTCCGACATCTCAGACGAGGGATCTTCTCTCAACCATACCTTCCTACAGTACGGGAGGAGTTTTGTGCTATGGTTGACTTTCGTATCGTGGGACTTGGTTGGAAGTGTTCGGAGCTTGTAGGCTTCACGTGGCTTTACATCCAAAAGCCTCAATCTAGGGAAGTACATAGGCATAGCTCAAGTCACAAAAGACGCACAACCAAAACAAGAGATCAATGATGAAACTTTAAAGGGATGAGTGAGGAGTCTTGACTAGTGCTGGCCGTGTTTATTCATGTGTACTTTCCTTAGATTATTACGAGTTCTCATTCTTCCCTCATTTACCTTTTTCTTCGCTCGAGTAAGTCGGTCATGCTTCATTTGCATTGACTCTGCTTGATGATTGTCTTCTCTGATGATCCTGTTACAGTTCTCAAAATTAACAAATTGGCAAAATCGATACATGAATGATACACCAGAACCTCATGATTATTGTTTGCATAATCTTTGTTGTTCCGAATCAAAATAAAAGATTCCTAAGACCAGGAACCGGCGAAGACCGCAATTGAAGGGTCTCGCTCGAAGCCGGACGCACACAACATGAAGGGACTTACTTTATTTAAATTATTTATTTATTTTCGTCATCAATAAAATCCCACGTGACGGCCTGTTGGCTTTCTGATTGCACGAAGTGGCCTGATTGGACAAACTGTGACAGCGTGTCAGATAGGCACGCGACCTAGGGGCCCCTCAGCAACCGTCGGACACCTTAAATGGGGCCCGTGTGCAGGTGCAACATATAACACCGCCCCCTCCTTATGAAGTCAAGTCGGGTAGAGGGCGAAGCTGACGATCTGAAGGTGGAAATTGGACGCGAGTACGACTTGGAGCCGAAGATGCCAGCTTGCCTTTCAACTTGCATTTGTAGCGTGTGAGAACGTCTGAAGTTATTGCTTGAAGTTCTGCACGGGTCAACCAACGGTCAGCTCTATGGTTGTTTTACGAAAAATGTACTAAATACTCGGTCGGCCTATTGTCGTAGCGTCGCTGGAAAATGATGTCGCCAACCTCTTGAAACCGTCCATAGAGGGTGAGTCTTGCGATCGTCGTTCGGGAAAGTCGTCATGTTCTACTGGAGTAAATAGGGCCAACTTGGAACAATGAAAGACCGGGTAGATGGGCAAGTGGGTGAGCACCTTAATGACGAATGAAGGTTTTTCGGGTGCATCCCTAGCGGGTGCCACGATCGATCAGGGGACGATCCATTTCGGGAGGAGTTTGTAAGAGATATTTTGTTCGAGGCCGAATTATGAGGCGGAGACCCATATGAGGTCGCCAGCGTGGAATGGACAAGGAAGACGTTGGTGATTGGTCTGTTGGCTTATGCGTTGCTATGTCTTTGACATCTGGTTGCGTGCCTTGATAAGTATTTTTTGCATCCGATGCAAGAAAAGAAGATGGTCGTCGCTCTCGGCCGCCCGCGGGATGATCGTGTCCAACAAAGAAGTGACCGACGAGCCATGCTCAAACTCAAAGGGCGACATCTCGATACTCGGATGAATGGACAAGTATGCCAACTCGACATCCGACAACCGTTCAACCCAATCCTTTTGGTCAGGATGGATGAGAGTGTGAAGGAAAACATGTGCAGTCTGATGCGCCCTCTCTGTTTGGCCATCGGTTTGGGGGTGGCGAGCCGAACTCGGCTTGAGAGATGAGCCCCATCGTTTGATGAGCGCTAACAAAAAATGGGACATGAACCGAGTGTCGCAGTCGCAAACGATTTCCTTGGGGTGACCCTTGATTCGAATCCAACCAGCATAAAGAACCTCGGCCAATTCCGGTGCCTTGGCATGATAGCGGCAAGGCAAAAACATGGCGAACTTGGTGAGTCAGTCAACCACCGTGACAATCCCATCCACACCGGTTTTGTGCTTGGGGAATGGTGCGATGATATCCATGACAATTGCTTCCCTTCGGCGCAAGGGGACCGATAATGGTCGCAACTCACCATACGAACGATGATTGTGGAATTTGCAGTGTCGGCAAACCTCGGATGACGAAGCGTATGACATCGCTGAGAAGGTCGGGCCACCAAAAGCGGTTGCGAAGTCGGCCAATCGTTCGATTGACTCCAAAGTGTCCGGTGCCGGGAGCATCGTGGACCTCACCAGGAAGCCGCGTAGGCAAGTGAGAATCACTTGGCACAAAAAAAAGATTCTACCCCCGTGAGTGGATGAGCAAATATCCCTCTTGGATCCGGTAGTGCGATGGCGTCGGATTAGGAGAGGAACAATTCACGTACTTGTCGCAAAACTTGAGGTTGGCTTGGTAGCCGCAGATGAAGCTGTCCCACAAGTCGTCATCGATCTCGAAGATCGAGTAGACTGTTGTGCAATGATCTGGACACCGTGAGAGAGCATCCGCAAAGTGGTTTGACTTTCCTGGAATATTGTCGGGAAAAAAGTCAAACTCATCGATGAAAGTCATCCGACGGGCGATCGTGTTATTGACCGTGTCTTGGGTCTTGTAGAAGACCAACGGATTGTTATCCGTTATCCGTCGGAATTAACTTCAACCAAGAAGAAAAAACCGTCACCGGTTGAGTGCGTGGACGAAGGCTAGTAGCTCCTTCGTATGTTCATTGTCGATCGAGTGCGTAGCGGACGCTTTCTTGCTGAAATATTCGATCGGTGTAGAGCCTCACCCTGTTAGACTTTCGAGCCTAAGTCGACCCTTCTGCAAGTCCCAGTTGGCTCGGCTCCGCCCACACTCATGCTTAGGGTGCGGAGCCATTCGTCATAGGGTCATCCCCACCTAGTGTTTTGAGATGGATGGGAGTGAGCCATTGAGCGAGAGAGTTTTGACATTGGGGATGTAGCTCAACTTTCTCACTAGGTGGGTAGCTTTTGCTGATCTTTCGCAAACGTCATTTTCTCGATACTTTGTCGTGTTGCCATGCAATTGCTCCTTCAAATACACAAGCACTTCAGGGGTCCTTCGAAAACTTTTTCTGCTTTTGTACGTAGGCCAAGCGTCATTCTTGGGTCACGCACACATTCACTAAAGCAAAGGTCCTATGACTTCATCGAGGTACCTTTTCCCCTTAGCCGGTCTACGCGCAGTCCTTCTTTGTCCCACACATCATGCATCATGTTCTATTGCTTCCCCATGCACCCCTTAGTCTTTTCTAGGTCCCCGCCCTCATACTCATAGGACTTGGTAGCCATTTCGACCATCCGACACTTTGCTGACTTCAAATGGACAAGTCATACTTTTTTTTTCATCCATGCTTGAGGCCACATGCACAAAGGTTTTTATTCATAGGTGAGGGTTACGTTCACAACCCGCTTAGCTTTTGTCCTTCTTTCCTTTGCCGCCCAGCCTATCCGAGCGTGGTCCAACTCAAGACATCCTCAAAGGCTACTTACCTACACACTTAATACAATGCGAAAAGATACAACCCTCATCCGGGTCAACACATAATCCCTCCCTCATACCTAGCTTCCTTGTCCTTAGGTTCCTTTTCTTCTCTTTTCTTTCCTTCATCCAAACCATCATCTTCCCTTAGTCATGCAGTCGGGGTTCTGGTTGAGTCAACTAACCTTTCCTTAACTTGACAATTTTTTCTCTCTAGTCCTCCTCGAACTTTGTCCACCATCAATTCCGTCAAGCTCTTCTCTTTCTTATCTTCTTGGTGGCACAAGGGGCCGACAACCCTCCCCTTGCCCTCTTCTTCCACCAAGTGAGATTCTGAGTTCTTTCATCGTTCGTACCCTGACAATGTAACAAGTGAGTGGGGGAAGGGTTAGTTTCATGCCAAGAGGAAAAGGGGGAGAGGGTAAACGTTGACCTTAGGGTTCGGAAGAAAATGATAGGAGAGGTTGGCGACCAAGAAAGAGAAGTAGAGAGAGAGGGAAACGAGAGCGAGTGTGTGTGTGTGTGTGTGTGTGTGTGTGTGTGTGTGTGTGTGTGTGT